AGTTTTTCCTTGGTGGTCCGCGTTAGAAATTTTGTTTTTACATGTCTCAAAAAATATATACAAGTTAAAAAAAAAAAAACTTTTCTAACATTTTTCACAAGGAATTTCCCGTTTCGATCCTCAAGTTACTGGTCCAATATTCATTAAATCAGTCACCAATTTTATAGGAAGTGAGATCCGACTGGTAGACTCTCATTTTTTAAATAATTATGTTATAAATATTCAAAAAATGATTTTAAAATTTTCATCAAATAATTTAGATTTTTTTTCTAATGGGCTCTCGGACTATTTGGGTTACTAGCAAGTGTATTTCATGTCATCACTGATCTTCATGATGGTATGAGCAGTTGATGATAATATTGATTTGGGTACATCGACGTCCAATAAAAAATTTAATAGCTCCTAAGGAAACCATTTTCCGTTTTTGCTAGGAGATGAGCCATTCTTTTCTTGCTGAAGTTTTTTGCGCTCGCGATGAAATGCTAACAAATTCTTAATTAATTTTTACCTTTATCACCGTGCAATTATATTTTCCTATTTAAACAAATTAACGATAAATAAATGGACCAATTATTTTTACCTGCATCACCGTACAATAATTATATTTATTCCATATTTTTTTCAGCTTATCGTTTTTAATTCTTATATCTTTGTATTCGGCGATTTTATTATTCTTTTATAATACTGTCGAATTACGGTATTCGTCAGTAAAAGACGTATTTGTTTGGTTCGTCCATGTTGCCCACAACAATCCGCGCCGATCTAAGGACTGTTGGATAGCCGGCGATAATTTTCGACACGTTGAATCATGTAGAGAGATGACGCATTCGACAGGCAACAACGGACAACTTGTAGCATGCGGCTAGGAGACATATTTTTTGCCGCTTTGTGTTCCTTCTATGGAAAGACTGTGTGTAGCATGCGTCAATGCCGCATGCTACATGTTGCCTAAAAGTTGCCGCAGTGGAATTCCGCCTTTACAAAGTTCTTAATCCAAGACTCACCACAAATTGTAGAGTATATAATTGTTTTGTTTTTTTAATCATAAACCCTATCATACGTTTTTTTTCAGTTTTAAAAGCTATTAAGATATTTTTAAATATATCCCTACGCATAATATATATATATATATATATATATATATATATATATATATATATATATATATATATATATATATATATATATATGGTGCGCTCTCTACCTCTACCTCTCTACTATGAATATAAATTATTTTCTGGCAATGTTGAGCAATTAAAAAATTTTTGAAGCTTAAAGCTTAAAGCTAACAAATCATTAAAAGCACTGAAATAACAAAAACCCTATTATACCAATGCTAGACAATAAAAACCTCGGTACTCCATTTGTATTAATTGAATCCATTTAATAAAATGAAATTACGATATTTTCATTGCCTGCCATAGATAGGTCAAAAGAACTCACACTATTTTTAAGTGGATAATGTTTGGATTTAACAAAGAGAAAATTTATCAAATTATTCACTAATTTAAATTTCTAGTAAACGTAATTATTTAAATATAATATCAGATCTAGAATTATTAAACTACGGTAAATGTATTTAAGGTTATAAACATATGCTTTATACAAAATGAAATATTTTCATATTTCACTTCTTCTTTCACACAAGTAATATGGAATAGTATTTTAAACAATGCCTTTGCCTTCATTAGGTGGATTTCAAATGCATTTTGTTCAAACTTAAAAAAAATATTTAATTTCCTTGAAAACCTGTGATTTACGTTAAATAATATTAGTTTTGAAAAATTATTATTTGTTATTTTCGTCACTCGATATTACTTTCTACAACTTTCTATATATTGCATATTGCTTTTTCTAAAATCCTCCGCTTATCAACGATATATTAAACGTATAGCTTCTGACTAGTATATACGGAAATTCATTTTCCAGCTAAATAAACAATTTCCCGTTTTTATCTATATTAAAGGTACTTTAGAGGAAGGCATATATGAACATTGAGCATTTAAGCCTTGTAAAGTGACATCAATGGGGATAAGACCTAATTGATATTAAATATTAAAGATTACTTAATTATACAATGATACACCGAGTTTCATCAAAATCGTTTAGCTTTTTTTTTTAAGAAAATTGTTTTAGAGAAAATTTCAGCGTTGATATAAAGTGGTACTTCCTGTCAGTCGATTTTAACGAAAACGCTGTCACATCCGAGGCATATACCTATCTTGAATAAGTAATATCAGTTTCGTACGACTTTTCATTTTTGAGCTAGACTGCTAACATACACACACACACACAGATCATTTTTCGGGACTTAGTTATTTGGACTCAGGGTCCCACAAAACGAGTATTTTCGTTAAAAAAAAAGATCCAAAAATTTTCTCGATTGCAACAATTTTCCTTACTATATATTACATATATAGATAAGTGAAAGTAAAAAATACGATTATATAAACATATAAATTTCTTTTTAAATATTCGTATATTTGTTCTTTCTACATTAATTATGTTGATTTTATCATTTTACATATTATTTTATAAATAATACAAACTTCTGCTATTAATATTTTTGTATATCATCTCTTCCCCCCTTGTTAAACAAAGTAAAAAGTTTACGCTTATTACTTGAACAGTTGCAAGGAAAAAAATCGAGTTCTGAAATAATAGAAGAAATTAGAGAACATGGATTCCATTTATACCGAAACTGCAATTTAATTTCAAGCACTAGTTGAAAACGCAATTGAAACTTTTTAAAAAATTTTCTATACATTTTTTTTGGTATAAGTTGATTTGTTATCATATTTTTCGATTTTAATATAGAATTCATTTTCAAACACACACAAAAAAATTACTATATTTAACAAAAGGTATCAAGAAAACTTTACTTCCGTAACTAATACAAATTCTTACATTAAAAGTTTCCCGGGTTTCAATGGCTTTATAAAATAGAGAAACATATTTCATTTTTTTTCATATTTAAATATTTAATGTTATCTAGGTAATCTAAGTAATCCCTTCGATGATAATCACATTTTATATATATATATATATATATTTTAAATAACTTATTGTTCTATATACAGAATATTTCTTCTAATAACAAAGTTCAAGGTTACTATAAAAAAAATTGAGATCCAACTGTAAAATCATTTCAATTTTTCATAAATCATCGAGTGAGTACCCTAAAGAAATTTTTTTTTTTTAATTTTTCATTTAATGCGTATCGTTTAAATAACACCGAAAAAAATAAAAACAACTTGTCTTCATCTACTTTCTACCAGATCATCCCATAAGTTCATGTTGATATTTAATTGTTGAATTGTCTTAATATATTTAGTTTATTATAGCACTACATACTCTTTTATTTATCATTTTTTTTGTTAGAGGAAATGAGTTGTAATATTTATTAAAATTTCAATTAAACTGTATCTCCCCAAAATCCACTTATATATTCAATAAAGGAGAAAATTCTGCTCCAACTTGCAGTGAAGGAATGGTCAATTCCTGGAGGAACATGGCGAAAAGAAGCGGGAAGATTTCTTCCGAAATGAGTAATGCTTGTTTAGTGTGATATGGAAGTGCTCGTGAATTCTATTGTCATCAACTGGATCCATTGAAGCGGGATAATGAGGAAAAACGTATCTCACTTATCAATAGAAGAGGTGTTTCATTCCTCCATGACAAAAAATTCTGACTTTGGATCGGAAATAATTCCTCACCCATTATACTCTCCTGACTTAGCGTCTTCGGCGTATCATCTTTTTCCCAGTCTTCAAAACCCACTAAATAGCAAGAACATGAATTCAGTCAGATGAAGTGAAAAATGAAGTGTTGGCTTTCTTTAATTCAAAAGTATTTTTCAGAAAAGGTATTCAAAATTTGTTTTTTTCTAAAATTATTCGCTTTCCAATGATATATTGTTCGTATAGCTTCTGAATAATATTTCCGGAAATTCATTTTCCACCTACATAAACATTTTCCCTTTTTTATCCAAATTTCAGTTATCAAATTCTTTTTCAAACCTTATATTCAGCATTGATAATGAGATAACGAGAGACAGTATTTTTTTTTTTTTTTAAATAAACCAAATTAAAGGTACTTCAGAGGAAGACCATATGAATATTGGACATTTAAGCCCTGTAAAGTGGCATCAACGGGGATAAGACCTAAATGATATTAAATACCACTTAATTATACAACGATACACCGAGTTTAATCAAAATCGTTGATTTTTTTGAAAAAATTGTATAAATGTGTATAACCGTTTATATAAAGTACCACTTCCGATTTTAACGAAAAAGTTGCTGTCACATTCGAGGCATATACCTATCTTGAATACGTTTATCAGTTTCGTACGTCTTTTCGTTTTTGAGCCAGGCTTACTCAGATTTTCACGTATGCAACATTCTTCCTTACTATATATTATATATAATTAAAAGTAAAAAATAAACATAACGAAAAAATTCAGAATTTGGATCGGAAATAATTCCTCACCCATCACATTCTCATGACTTAGCGCCTTTTGATTAACATCTTTTACGCAGTCTCCAAAAACCATTAAGTGGCAAGAACATGAACTCAGTCAGATGAAGTTAAAAATGAAGTGTTGGGTTTCTTTTTAATTCAAAAGGATTTTTCAGAAAAGGTATTCAAAATGACAAACTGTCATAGAACAAGATTATGAATAGATTTTAGATTGAGCGAGTTTCGTTGATTTTATCTGACCACTCATATCACATCGCGCAATTAAATATCAAATTTTCTTGACGAGATGACCTGGTGTACGACTTTGTATAAACAGAAGATAAAGAAGAATACATACACAGAAGATATAAACGAATATATACACTGAAACGATGATGACTTGTTTTTGTTGTTTAAAATATATAAAAATGAAGGCTCCTGACAACTTATATTCTTCGCCTTTCAGTATGACCGCATATTGACAGAAGATATAAACTATTACACTCGATATAAACAGACGAATGATGATGACGACATACCTTTGCGAGAACTGATGGGAAGAAGGCGAGAAGAAGTACAAACCAAACCATCCTGCCTCGATCCTACATGGCCACTGCAGGCTCCAGTATCCCCTCCACTGTCCTAGCTCTGGAGAGGGGATGTACTGGACGAACATCGGCAAGGGTAGCGATACGCCACCCACCACTACTGGAGTCCAGGATACGATCGATGGTATGGGTAAAGGTATTTAGAAATAACAAGTGTCAGGAGTAGTGATGGGCGAAACTGTGAAATTTCGATAACGTTTCAAGATAGCAGTTACCAAAAGACGTGTTCCAGTAACAGGTTATTTTAATATTTTATGAGTTAGAGAAAGTTGCTAAATCCAGCAGCGATGGAAAGCGATTTATGCTGAGTTTAGAAACGACCAGCTGGATACTGGATGAAAATTAACACTCCTAGAAGTTTACAAAACATTTTTTTTATTTATTTTTTTTTTTTTTTCCTGTACCACTACAACCCATGAAGGGTCTGGGGTTCAGTACTATTTAGGGAAAGTACTGTTTCTAGGTCAACGGTTGTGCAAGGAGGTGATTTGACCGAGATCACGCTCAACCGCCAGGTTTTTCCCCTTAATTAATTATTTAATTAAGAGTACCCAGTTTCTAGAGGCTAGGTGTGCCCCAGGAGGGACTCTCACAACCCAGGGTCGCCCCACGGCCAATGAAACAGATAAATAAATTTTCTGCCATGAGCCGGGGTTCGAACTCGGGACCTTTGCATTGGAAGCTCAGTGCCCTACCACTCAGCTACCCACTCCCTACTTATTTATTTAGATATATAATATTCTGTCACGGGGACAATAATTATATTGATAAATGAACACATTCACACCGTATATACAAAAAAAATATTAACAAAAGTAAAATAATAACTAAATAATAATATAAATAAAAACTATATACAATAAAAAATAAAATAACCTAAATATGAGTAAATTAAAAACATAAAAATACAGTCATACCTATATACAATATATACAATCAGGCGGGGAACCCAAATCCCTGCGCTACTCTCTCAACCGCCTCACTGGTGCTAAAGCCGGTGGAGTTTGAGCGAGAGCGCTTTAGCCACATACACTCATGTCATGAGTGGAGAATCTGGCCATTGCCAGAACTCCAAAATAAATACTATAAAAGATCTCTGGGCCACTGCCGCTTCAACCTTCGAGGAGGGTTGTAGGGATGAGTGGAACTAGATAGGAATTGGGCTAGGGGATTTGGATGATTCATACGGTTCTGATGGAATTTCGAAAAATTTTCAGGGATAAGGTCAAGGACAAATGGGATATTAAGGTCATAGTGTAGGGTTTTGTTGGTTACATAAAACGGAGTATCGACTATTGTTCGGAGGACTTTGGATTGAAAGGATTGGATGCGTTTGATGTTAGAGAATTTTGCTGTCCCCTAAAGTTCGAGTCCGTAGGTACAAATAGGTTTCAGGATTGTCTTGTAGATCAGTAATTTGTCGTCTATTGAAAGTTGAGATTTTCTGGTCAGTAGTCTGTATAATTGGTTTTTTTATTTTTTTTTTATTAAGTAAAATTAATAACTAATTTTTTTTGTTATTTGGATTTTTCTATAACTTAATGAGTCATTTCCCCAACACCCAAAAGCCACTACTGTCCATCCAATCTCCTTCACGGAGCCCTCTGGCTGCCATGCTTTCCTCCACGCCCTCTATCCATTTCTTCTTTGGCCTTCCACGTTTCTTTCTTTCACGTGGCATATAGGTATAAATTTTCTTTAGCCAGCGATTTTCATTCATCCGCTTTAAGTGGCCATACAACTTTAACCTTTTGGTCCCGATCAGATAAAGGATGTTCTTTTGACATCCGACCTAGTCTCTAATTGCTGCGTTTGGGATCCGCTTGATTCTAGATATGCCACAGTTTCTTCTCCAGAAATCTGTTTTCCGCCTTTTTTGTAATTGTCCAAACTTCTGATGCGTAGGTGGCTACGCTTTCTACAATGGAATGGTAGATCTTTTTTTTGATTTCCAATCTTATTTCCAAACTCTTCCCATTGTTTATTTCATGTTCTATGTCAAAATCACTACCTCCCTTTGAAGATAACTACTTACAAAACATAAGAAATAAAAACTCTGGAGTGACCACGCACGCCATTTTTCTGCCGATTTTAGACGAATTTATACTACTCCAAATATGTTCAGTAAAAATACAATCGAATTAGATTAACTAGTGGTCGAAATTCAACCGTAATCATTATTTGAGGTATACATATATCTTTGGCATAGTATAGCAGAGCCTACACGATGATTCATGAATGACAGTCAAATGACTGACAAGGATTGCTTCAATCATAATGACCCTTACACGTATCAATCATACTGACGCATTTTAGCTCAGTTGATGTTGTACATTTATAATAACTAGTGTTCGAAATCCGACCATAGCCATTAAAAATTTGAAGAAAACATATAATTAAATTAAAAAAAAATAAAGAGTAAATCACGATTCAAAAATCCTCATTTATTAATATAAACAACATTCCAATTTTAATTAAAAATCGAGCTTAAACTACTTAAAATCTATTCGTTTCGGGGATTATTCTTTTCGATTTCGATGGGGTTTTTATTTGATGGGGCTCATTTTGTAGAAAATCAAGAAAGAAATTTCAAATAAATACTGGCATTATCAATAAAACAATGTGTACTTTTTGAGTTATTTACAAATAAAATACTGAATTTATGCAGCTTGTTTTCGGCAAAGTATGTTATATACATAAATTATAAAGGTCTCAAGGGGCAGACATTAGCCAAGTTTCATTGAAATCGTTGAAGCCGTATTAATGATAATGAAACGTATACAAAAACACTTCTAAATATTATTGCGACGTTGTGTCAAAATTTAAAAGAAATCGGTGAAGAACATTCCGAGATTAGCCATTTTGAACAAACTACCATTTATATTTTTATTTACATACTATTTAATATTTTTATTTATTGATAACACTAAAGCTCGTCAATATCTATTAAACAAAATAAGAAGGAAGAAAATCGGTTGAATAATAGAGGAGTAAAAGGGGCTGAACCGATTTGTGTTTGCCTATTTATATAATAATATGTAAAGAAACCTACACAACAATTCATCACCCAATTTTTTGAAAAAACAAATTCAACAAAAGAGAACAATCAAGACGTGTCACAAACAAACAAAATGAACTTTAACTCCTGCTACAAAATAACATACATACCTGAACTTATAAACAAAATTAAAGAGGTGTTTAATAATTATGACATGAGAGAAATCAAATAATAAAAAACTGAGCAGGTACATCATTAACACAAAAGATAAAATAGACTTAATAAACAAGAAAAATATAATTTACAAATTAAATTGTCAAAACTACCCCAAAATCTACATTGGAGAAACATCCAAACACTTAAGGACCAGAATTACACAAAACATTACTAACTGTAAAAATACAAAAAACATAAACACAACAGCTCTAGCACATAACAGCATAAAATTACAACATAAATCCAACTTCAATAAACCACAGATATTAGGCACAGAACCAAAAAACAATAATATAAAATTACTTGAAAATTACACAACATTAAAAACAGTAAATTACAAAACAGACACCAAACATTTGGTCAATTGAATTCACCATGGCAGACACCCAATTATTGGTCTATAGGCATGATGATGCTCTGTATATTATATATTATAATTTGTTATAACATGAATTTAGAACACGACAATGGAGCACATTAGACTAAAGGTAATTAAAAATTTAATGTAGCAGCTCAATTCTAAGATGTATTGTAACATGCATTATTTTTATTTAACTCATTTGAACTTTCATTTACGTATATATGTAATATATAGTAAGGGTAAGTATTGCGATCGAGAACATTTTTGAGTTTTCAACGGAAATACACGTTTTGAGGTACCCTGAGTCGAAATGACCAAGTTCCAAAAAATGGTCTGTGTGTCTGTATGGCTGTGTGTTTGTATGTTAGCAGTCTAGCTCAAAAACGAAAAGTCGAACGAAACTGATATTACGTATTTAAGATAGGTAGATGCCTTAGATGTTACAGCAACTTTTTCCTCAAAATCGGTTAACCGAAAGTGCCACTTTATATCAACGCTGAAACACATTTTTATAATTTACTCAAAAACGGCTCTAACGATTTTGATTAAACTCGGTTTATCATTGTATAATGAAGTAATCTTTAATATCAATTAGGTATTATCTCCATTGATGTCCCCTTACAGGGCTTAAATGCCCAATGTTCATATACGCCTTGCTCCAAAGTACCTTAAATATGGTTTATTTAAAGAAATTAATCATCTCAGATTATTAAAAGTTACGAAAAAATGCTAAATATAACTTTTGAAAGAATTTGATAATTGAATAAAGGAGAAAAAAAATTAAAATGCTTTTACAGGTCGAAAATGAATCTCCGGAAATACTAGTCAGAAGGTATAAGTATAATCTATGATTGGAAAGCGGAGAATTTAAGGAAAAACAATATCTAATATAGAAAGTTGTAGAAGGTAACGGAGAGTGGCTAATAATAATATTTAACGTAAATCACATGTTTTGAAAAAAATTAAATGAAATTAACTAATTAAATGTAACCTTATAAATTTTTTTTTAAGTTTGAAAAAAATGTATGAAAATCTGTTAATTCCGTTTTAGTAATTTTTGCAATAGAAAATAACAGTTTAATAACTAACAGTTGTACAATCCATAATTAACGGATCGTACAATCCATAATCAACCGATGATATAATAAATAACTTTTTAGCTGGAATCTTTTAGATTTAGCTCTAGCTCAGTTAAAAATGTATTTCAAAAATTTTATAATAGCCAAACGTTGCTAGAAAATAATTTCAATTCAAATTTGAGCGGTAAGTGAAAGTTGTGTGTTGAGTGCACCAGATTTTTATCATTAGAGGCCACAATAAGCTTAAACGTTGTTACCAAAAAATTAGTAAATCTAGTCAGGATGTGTTTGAAGGAAACACTCACTGAAGTTAGAATCGGTAATCATTTATCCGAAAAGTTTCGTGTGTGTTTAAAACAGAGTG